CATAATATTATATATTCTATATTATAGTACTATTTATTATTCTGTATTAAAATCAACATATACACAATTGCTCTGGGGCCAAGTGCTCCTTTCCAACAGCCTCATGCACCACTAAGGGTTTCCCTTCTGGTTGCCCTGGCTGTTAAGTTTCTCCAGGGACTTTTCCTTGAAGAAATACCTGCAAAGGTTTTCCTTCTGCTTTTCCTCTTTGCCACCTTGCAGGACACAAGTCTTCACTCAATATCTATCGAGTTGAAATTTCCCTAACCCTTTTCTGTATGTATTTGTATGTATGCCTCACATTAGACTGTGCTGTTAGAAATAGGCACCTGAGACTGTTGGAAGACGCCGTGGCATCCCAGCCACCTGAATATAAAGTGGGGTTTTTTTGGCCTTAGTGAATAGCTAAGACATTGATGTCCCCATGGTGGAAACCGCTGTAGTCAGTAGAGCGTAATTCTCTGTTTGCACTGCATGGAGTAGCTGTTTTCAATGTGTTTGACCTCCTGGGAGCTCAGGCAGCGGCTCCCTTCAAAGCACTTCGTGTCTGTGCCCTGCGCTGCTGCCATCCCTGCAGTTTGTCTGGTGGTGGCCGTGGGCTCGGCTTCTCTCGTCTCTGTTTGAAACCTGCTTGCACCATCTTCCGTAGAGGAGAAAACTGCTTTATGGAGAGTGAAAGGAGCAGCCTTTGCTGTGGAATGGGGCGATGGAAAAGAGCTGGGAACTGTTCTGTAAGTAATTGGGAGGAGAAAAGCAGCAGATGGTAAATGGAAGCAGCAATTTACAATTGTAAGGGCTGAGCGCTTTGGAAATGTGTGAATTGCAAACAGGAATCAGTGCGTGATTCATCCTCTCCCTGTTTTCCTGGCAGGACAGCTGAGGTAGAGAATTCCCCTTCTGTCTTCCCCTTTCTTTCCACAAATTCCCAACTGTACATTGTCATTCTGGTTCTGTAATACCACAAATAGGAATCCATAGGTAACTTGCAGCAAGTTGAGTTTACTTCTTTAAAGCAAGCTCCTTACACACATTTACCCTTGTTATAGAGGTGTATACTGAATTATATAGGGAGTATTACAGGTCGAGACCAAGGAAACCTATGGGAGCTGAAATAGAGGACAGAAGTGACATTGTGCAATATGTAACCTCACACACACCACGAATGCAGCCGTGCCAGTACCTCAGGAATTCCTACACCCATTTCAGAGATGTTTTCCCTGAAAAGCTGCTGAAGATCTTGGGTTGAGCAAATTCCCATCAGCAAACTACACACAGTGCTGGAATTGGAGCTTTCTTCCCCCTGTGAATGAGGACGAGCACACAGAGCTGTGGATCAGCTGCTTGTTTGCTGCTTTCCCCAAAGGGAGCCTCCCCGAGCGCTGTCTTTACTCCATCTCCCATCCGTGGCCATGCTCCATGACCCGGGGGAAGCTGCTGCCCTGCCTTTTTCTAGAGGACATGTGCCAAAAGCATTGCATCATAAATGCCAAGCCCAAATTTACCTGTGTTAGGGCCCCGTTCACACAGTGTTTGCTTTGGGCAGAACCGCATGCCCGCAGGGCGGCTTTAATACCTCCTGCCTTCCCTTTGTAGACACAGGAGCTGTTGTTCAGTGTGGGGATTGCCATGATCCCTTTCCATGTCTGCTTTGTAGGAATTTATTCTTATTGTCACCTAGAAATCCCGCTTGGGAGGGATCTTGGAACTTGGGACTGGGAGACCAAAGGAATGCACCCATAAAATGTGAATTAGGGGGGCAAAGTTCTGGGTCCTGTGCTGTCTTAGCCAGTTTATCCTTAGTTCCTATCAGCAATAGGGAGATTATCTGGCTGTGCAGGTGAGTGGCCGCGGAGCAGGTTCAGTGACATGCCTGAAGCCAGCTGGGACAAAGTAAATCATTGAAGCCTGACCCAGTGTTGTCTTTACAAAGCCAGACTTCTCTTTGAAAGCCTCCGTCTTCCCCTGTGGTTTCAGTATCTTGAAATGAAGCTGTCCTCAGCCGGGCTGGAGCAGTCACCAGAAGGGGTGAGCAGCACCTTGTGAGCATATTCTCTTTACACCAGTCAAAAATCAGCATCTTTCCTACTTGCAGCAGTAACAAGTCGCTAAATAAAAATACCCCCTCTTACATCTGTTCTGGCTCCTGTTATCCCAATTTGAAGCCTTTGGAGAGGGGCTGCTGGATCAGGCAGGCTGTGTCATGTCTGAAATCCGTATTCCTGGAATGATTCCCCAAAACAGCCCTGGTGGGTCACACCAAAGGTCCAGCTCGCTGTATTTCTGGCTCCTGACAGCAGCCATCGGCTGTAGCTGTAGGAAGGGTGCTGCGGGAATTAGGGCAGCGCCGTCTGATCCTCCCCTGCGCTGCCTCAGTGCCCTGGTTTATAGCGAAGCCGTGGCTGTGCTGCTGTGGCGCGGTTCATCCGAGGTGAGCACAGCGGTGCCAGGAGCCGTCCCTCAGCCCCGGCCTCGCAGCGCAGCATCTCGATCAAAGGAATAAGGCTTGCTGCTTTCTGGTCCCACTGGAATTTGTCTTGGAGCTTTACTGCAAAAGCCCTCGGTCTGTCTGTTCGTCTCTGTCTCTGTAGGATTTTATCTGGTGGGTGAGACTGAGAAGGGGTTTTTTTTAAGCCTTTCCTGTGCTGAAAGCATTTAAGTGTAGTAACTCCACGGCGCTCCTTTAGGAAAGACAAATGTTATTACACGGTGGGAAAAGCAAAGCAGAGAGGTTGTGGCTTGAAGGGCTCTGAATCACAACGGGCGTGGAAGAAACGGCCCCGTTCAGCGTCTCTGGCCCAAAGTGTTTTCTTATTTTTACGTGCCTGGTTATCTGGCACCGATGTGTTTTTAAGGGCCGAATACAGGCGCTTCCGCTGCTTTTCAGTTTTTGGACTGTGTGGAAAGCTTTTGCCTTTTATGTCCAGCACTGCCGCCCCACGGCCCGGCCAGCAGGCTCCTTACAGAACCACAACATCAAAACCGGCCCCAAAAATTTGTAGTTAATGGGGTGGCTGAGGCAGCTATTGTCAAAGCAACCGAATGCCTAAATGGGGAAGGGAATGTCACTGTCACACCTCCGAGGGCTGTCTTCACTAACGGGAAAAGAGAGCTTTTAGATGCGTTAGCTCATGCTTTAAATATCCCTCTGTAAACAGGGAGAGGTTTATTTTTAGCGTAATCACTGGTCGAAGTCAATCCTGGATCCGCTGGTTGGATTCGCTGGCGGGGCTCTCGGGGGATGGATCCTGACCTGTGCTCGGTGCTGTTCCGCTGTGTTTTCTCCTCTCCCCTCTGCAGCGCAGATGCGCTGTAAGCTGACCTCGCCAACCTTTATTTCCTCCTCCCCCGTGTATCTGCACAATGTCCCTTGTAGCACGCTGGTTGGAGCAGATATATCACGGTGTCCCTGCGAGGTGACAGAGCTGTGACCCTGCGAGCAGCCAATAGTGCTGGGCTGCCGCTCGATGCCAAAAACCCTCCAAGCCCCGGGGCACGAGGTGTCCTTTTGATTAGATGCACTATATCTGCCCTGAACAGCACGGGGTGGAGGGACCCTGGGACAGGGGGTTGGTTATATTTGGGGGAGGCGATGTGGGAGGTTTGTTGTCACTGTCCCTCATCGCTTGTTTTCGGCTGAAGCAGCCGTGCTGTCCTGTGGCCTGTGCAGGAGCTCATAGGCATGGGGGTGTCCTCAGTAAAACCAGTCTTGCCCCCTCCTCATGCTTAGGGACGTGGACATGGTCTGGTGGTGGACCTAGGGCTGGTTTGGTGGTTTGTACTCGGTGATCTTAAAGGTCTTTTCCAACCAAAACCATTTCATGAGTCTATGAAATGCCCAGAGGCCCCCAAAGGGGCATATTACAAAAAAATTTAATATGAAATTCCTTATTTGCTTCTGGCTTTCATTCTCGTAGGATATACTGCATCAAGTGCTTTCCTTTGCAAAGACTTCCACCTCTTTCATTTCCCCAAACTTGAAATGCTTTTCTAGTGAGATGACACCAAATCCGAGGGCGGGGGTGGTGGTGGTGGGGAGCCAAGGATCCTGAAAGCAGGCACCGTGTTCTGGGATGTTGCAGTGGCACTGGCTTTGCTCCTCCCTGCCTGAGCACCCCCTACAAGCAACCTTTATTTGAGCAACATATGGATGCTTCAGTCCTCTCAGCCTGATGCTTATAGCTGCTGTGCTGTGGCGAATGAATGATGCAACTCAGATCCCTTCTTGCCTGCCCGTGAGTCACCGGGCAGTCCTGTCGCTCTCTGCTTGCTCAGGCAGGAAGACGAAGTCTCATGGTTGCTGTCAGACCCAGAAACTGCAGTCCCTGAAGGCCAGGCTTGTCTGAAGCCACCCCATGGGTACGTCTGAGGCGCTCCCTGCCCCTTACGTTCCCGGAAAGCCATTCCCAGCTCTGGATGCAATAACCTGAACTCTTAGAGCTTTCTCACAGGCAGGGCAGGATGCAGGGTGGCAGTGAGCCAGCGAGACCCTTTGAAATGTCCAAATCCTCCGTATCCTCTCAGGGTTTTATTTCTCAGTTTGTGGTTTATTGTGGCAGGGTGTGGGGCAGCGGGAAGGTGCCTTTGCTCCCAGCTCCACTGCGTGGTCCTGCCACGAGCAAAGGTGGGCGCTGCCGATGCCGTGCAAGCCTCTGATATTGGAGGTGTGCTGGGGAGTACCTGGCTGTGTACTCACTACCGGGTGTGTTGTGGATCCCCACATGTGTTAGGGTCTTCAGCACTGGGTGCTGTTGCTGGGTGGTACCTGAGCCATCGGACTGCGGGTGTTTGCCTCCCACCTTCATCCATCACCTTCTCCCCCTTCCAAAACACCCCATGCATCTCAGCCCCGTGGGGACAGGCTTGTGGCCAGGGTCTCCACCAGCAGTCTCTGGGGAGAGACTGAAGATGCTGCTGAGCCCCCTCTGGGGGTTTGATTAAGGCTGAAATATCTCCATCAGATGGGCTTTAAACCATGAGTGCTGATATAGCTCGTAACCGCAGGAAAGGGTGATTGCGTCCTAAATATTTTGGGGAGCGACAGTTCGGCTCCAGCGGAGGCAGCGGGGTCCTGTGAAAACCAGCTGCAGGATGTGGGAAAGAACCTTCGCCTGAGGGCAGAGGCCAACACAGAAAGGATCCCGCAGGGAAAAGCCTCCAGCTTGAAGAAATGTTGGGATCCGCTCCTCCCCGAGCCATTCAGTGGCCATTTGGTGCCGGGGGCTGGTGACAAACTGGGGTGGAGGCAGCGAGGGGTGGCTCCATGCAAGGGAGACAGGGAGGGCATCCAGTACGTGGGGCACCATCGTCCTCTGCGTGACATTTGCCTGTCTATAACAAGCAGCAGGCTCTGGGGAGCGGGGAGTGAGCCGGGCACGAAAATAGTAAGT